ATTTACCCATGTTTTATTTTCAAGAAAAATCCTGTTGAAAAATCCTGAGCCGAATTTTTTAATAGTAATATAATTTGATTTTATAATATTATTATTATTTTATTTTTTATTACTATTTTTTAATTTTTATAAATAAAGCATATTTGCCATTTACAATGTGCAGAAAAGGTTAAATGATTATACGTTGACAAACCGATTGTTTTTTTTTATCTTCTATCTATATATTTTTTTCAAAATTAAATTGTATTACTTCTTGTTTATTAAAAAATTAGGGTCAAGATTTTTCAAAAGGATTTTTGTTGAAAATAAAACATGGGTAAATAAAATAAAACATTACATTTATTATTACATTATTATTATCTACAATAAATAATTGAATTTTTCAGTGTTTGAATTTATAACAAATTTCTTTTATAAACAAATTCAACAAATTCAAACTAAAAAGATTGAACCGGAATCTGCTGTAACGGAAAAAGCGATTATACCGGAATCAGTCGATAACAGCAATAAAACGGTTGAAAGAGTGGAAAAGGTGGAAAAAGATATATTTTTTGAAATCATTTATCATATTTTAAAAATAATATGTATATAAATTATTAATTTATTGCTTCCTCCAAGAGGAAGCAAATCTTTTGCTTTGCGCAATGAGAAAGTAAAATGTTCATGAAATGAACATAAACTTCTTTTATAAAAAGGGACCCCCATCTTGTTATTATGGTTAATTAGAAAGTTAATTTGACTTAACTAAACAGTTTAATTAACCTATTTTGTTTGTCGCACAATTAACAATTTTAGTTAATTTAAATAAAAATTTGTTTTATTCCAATAAATGCATTAAAATTCAGTTAGTTAACAAAAAGAAAATTTTTATTTAAAGGTATTTGTTCCATTTAACTAAATCATATTGTCTTTGATTAAGCGTATTGTTTATAGTTAAAAATAATAATTTGGTTCATACAATAATGAATAAAATTTGTTTCATTTAACTAAAATTTATTTGGTTAATTCAATTAAAATTTGTTTGTTTCAAACAAATTTTTCACTAAGTGTAGAATTTATTTCTCTTTATGTATGAGCGATTGTATGAAATTTGATTTAATTGTTTTTTTATAAATTTGCATATGAGTCGCAAATTTTTAATTGTACCGAAAATAGTATATTGTTAACGAAGTCGGAAAATGTTCTTTCGTATACGTGGTGCACACAGTACATTGTGCAACACCAATTTAGAGAAAATACTTTTTATTAAGTGAATATATAACAAACTATACAATTAATGTTTGTATTTATAATAAAAAATATTTATTAAATTCATGAAATATGTCATAATTTCTATATAATTAGTTTTGTACAACAAATTCAATTGCCAATAGCGAGCAAAAGTCAAAGTTCTACAAAAATAAAGTCATAACGATTGATACAGACAGCGTACATATTTGTAAGTATCCTTTAAAGAACATTTCTGCACTAGTGCAGCAAAGTAATGTTTTGCGCCTACTTTACAAGCATATAAAGTAAATGCTTTTTTGTCCTACCTGCACGGAAAGTGTGTTATTTCGTGCACTTGAGGCGGTCGCAAAGTAAGTGATTCCCGCCCAGAGATGGGGTGAGCGGGCGCAAAGTACATTCGCGCCCGCTGACGTCATAGATGCGGGCGCAAAGTACATTCGCGCCCGCTGACGTCATAGAAGCGGGCGCAAAATACATTCGCGCCCGCACCATTAAAAAATGTATTGTTTTCATTTTTTGTGACATAATAAACATACATAGTATACGTAAACAACTACATGTAATTTACCTTAAGTATATTATCTTCCCAACCCTGATGGAACATTGAAACAAGCGGACTTGCATGCACTCAATAATACACTTTCCATGCAGACAGGACAAAAAATGTTGTTCGCAGCACGGGCGCAAAAGGTGATAGTGTCTCAGGCGAGATTATGAAGAAACCTCGGCGACCCTACGCACCCTCGGCTTCGCCTCGGGCGCTTCGGGTCCCCTTGGTTTCTCTAATCTCGCCTTCGCCACAATCACCTATTTTGCGCCCTTGATACGAAAATAACTATTCTTTAAGGTGTTGCACAAAATTATATTTTCTCAATTTTCTAATAAATAATCTCAGCTTCTATTTTAAGATAAATGCAAGGAATTTAATAATAATAATAATAATAATAATAATAATAATAATTATTATTATTATTATTATTATTGTTACGATGGTAAATATGTTTCTCCTATTAAGTATTTCATTAACCTAATCATATCTGATAAGGTAGAAATACCATCCTTACTATTATTATTATTATTATTATTATTATTATTATTATTATTATTATTATTATTATTATTATTATTAATTTATTTTATTTGATATTAGTCAAGTTACCGATTATTTGAACAAAATAATTTTTTTTTTAAATTTCTATACCTGCGCATATAGGAATAAGTTAAATATAAATTGACGGTGTTTAGAGGATTTCTTATAAAATACAATATTGAGATTGAAAATTTTACCAGACGTCAATCAATGTCTTACTGGTTTCCTTTATTTCGTTCAACTTCGAAATCGCTTCTATCGATTATGTGCAATAGCTGTGCGAATCATAATAATGGCTTCGGGCAGTATATATTTTTTTTTTGTTTATATGATATCCCATGAGATTCACCTGCAATCTTTAATATAATCAGTGAATATCAGTTGGCAGGCCAATTTTCATAAAATATTTTTACAGTCTTTAAATTTCCAAGAAATGAAAGAATCCACGATTTATATTTGTATTTTTCTCTCCTCTCCTCTCTCTCTCTCTCTCTCTCTCTCTCTCTCTCTCTCTCTCTCTCTCTCTCTCTCTCTCTCTCTCTCTCTCTATTAACGTATATGTTTAAATAATATTTAAATAATGTATGTATACATAAGAAACTTTTTTTTAAAGTAAGTAAAAATTTAACCTTTTGGCACGAATATTAACATTAACCAATAAGAAATTATCATGGAAATTGTGATTGGTTAATTTTTAAATTTAGCGCCAAAATCTTTCTTTCAGTTGTTTTCTCCGTCATTTGTAATTTCATGACAAAAATTTGAAATTGGACAATTTAAGAATTCTGTTAAATAACAATTCCTGCAAATAAAAATTCAGACAAATGAGAATTCTGTGAATTGAAAATTCTGGAATTTAAAAATTCGAATCACTTTAAAATTCTGTTAAATCAGAATTAGACTAAATTAGAATTTTTTTTATTGAATAAAGCAAAATTGTTTAGAATAAATATTTTATAAAATCAAAATTTTGAGAAATAAAAATTTGTTTAAAAATAACCTCTTAAACGCTAATTTGAAAAATTAAAATTCGTATAAATATGAGTTAAATTTATAAATAATTTTTGATTAGTTGATTTTTAAAATCGCGCAGAAATCATACTGTTGATTATTTGTTCGGACATTTGCAATTTCGGACAAATGAAAATTCTATCAATTGAAAATTCTGTTAAATGATTTTTCGGTTAAGTAAAAATTCGAAGAAATAAAAATTCTGTGAAGTCAATTTTCGGTTATATATAAAAATTGTGTAATGTAAATCAGTAATTTGTATATAACATAACCTTTAAAATTAACTATTAAATCAGTAGATTTTGTGGCCGCCGCCATATATTTATATTACTGATTCAATCAGTAATTGATATTTTACTAATTGAATCAGTAAATTTCTACTAATTGTCAGTTGCTCAATTCTCGCTATGGCAATTAGTAGATTTTTACTGCTAATCAGTAAAATATGACTGATTCAGATTTAGAGAGTAAAATATATAGACTTTATATATTAATCAATTTGTTTTAATGCGAGAAATCAGTTTTTTAGACAAAAAAATTATATTTACAGTGTAAACAAATGTTTGGTTAAAAAACGTATTTTCGCATTTTTGAAAAAGTGATATAAAAAAAAAAAAATTTGTGGATATTTTTGAAAAGCCTTGTGTCTGATTTTAGATATTGATGTCTCTAATAGTAAAATTTCAGGACAATCCATCCATATATTTTGTATCAGAAAAAATATATTTTAAGATATGTAAATTAAAAAATAAACTATATATGAAAAGATGTTCAGTTGGATGTCCTAAATAAATAAAATATAATTTTTGCTCAGAATTAATCTAAAAATAAAATCTTAACATTTTTTAATTCTATTTTTCAATAATAATTAAAACATAATATCGAACGTAGCTAAAATTCTCATTCACTTTAGTATGAGAATAAATTTTTTTTTAAAAAACTTTTCTACATGTACCACTTAAATGTCAATCTAATCAATCTATTTAAAAAAAAAAAACTCTGTTATTTTAGCGCTGAAAGTGTCAGAATATATCAAGTAACAAAAATAACGCTACGACCTAGTATATTTATTTTAACACTTCAAATTATTGAATACTATATTAGCGCAGATTATACATAGAGCAATTGAAATGTTTTTATTTTGTATTATACTTGTCAGAATATAAAAAAAAACTACATATATTATTTGAACAAGTAAAAATTCGCTCTACTTTAAACTACTCTACTCTACTTTTTTGAATATTTTTTTTTTTTTTGTAAATTATATATCTTTTCTATATAGAAAATTGCACAGAACGTAAATTATCATTCGTATGTTTTATTTTCTGTGTGAGCTGCGTTGAAAGTCCTCAATAGGTATATAAAAAAAAAAAAAAAATGGTGTTGAAAGTGGTTGGTTAGAAAATTTCTTGTCAGTTTTCTCTCCACCCCGTTTATGAACAAAAAAAAAAAAGAAAATAAAAAAAAAAAAATAAAAAATAATGAAAAATATATCTGATGGAAATCTAGAAACCTGTCTCTGTTAACGAGTCAGGCGCAAATCGTGCGTGCCGATTCATGGTGAATTTCCACCGTCTGATGGTTCTAGACAACCATCGACGACAACCGCGAAGCGGAGAATGCGGTAACATTGGGATTAGCCATTAACCGTGAAGTGGAGTGACAGTCGGTTCGCGACCCAAGCGCCGAGTGGACGCGGCGCGCGCGCTTTCCATCATCATCATATATATGTGTGTTGTGTATATATATATATATATATATGTAGAAAGTTTATTCAATTTTCAAATTTAAATTTGCGGTTTTCTTGGTGAATTTGAGATAAAAATTTCTCCTTTTTTTTCTCCTGTAAAAAAAAAGAAGAAAATAACTCCCATCATTATTTTGTTGTGTATATATAGTTATATGATAATTTACATCAAAACAATTTAGTGTACAGTGCTTCGGGTTTTTTTGTCATTTTGGAATTATATTCTTGTGAGTGTCACTACTATTGGATAATATTTATTTTCATAGAAAAATAAGGAGGAAATTTATAATATTGCATTCTACAAATATACGTAAATAAAATATTCATATATTGATTTAAAAAATTTAATTCATTTTAATTTCAAAATACTATTGCAAATTTTAACAATTGGAGAAAAGTATTTTTTACTTTTTAAAGAAATGTTATTATTTTATTTTGATTTCTGAATCAATTTTCTCTGATTCATATAAATTTTATTTCAATTCGAAAAATTTTTTCTTCATTCCGAGAAAAGTTTTATTTGAACCAAATATTGAATTATTTTGTATTAATTTTTTTTTTTTTTTTAGATATTTCAAACAAAATCACTATTGGTGAAAAAAAATACTTTTCAAAATTTTGTCACTTATAGAAATAAGGTTTTGTTAATTTAAAGAAATATAAATTTTTGTTTTATTGAGTTCAACATAAATTTTTCTTTGAAACGAAAAAATATTTTTTTTGATTCAAAAAAAAAAAATGTCTTTGATTCAAATAAATTTTCTTTGAATTCGAAAAATTTCTTCATTACTCAGAGAAAAGTTATATTTGATCCAAATAATTACAATTTTTTTTGTATTAACGCCATTTTTTGGTTATTTCAATTTTTATTTGATTCAAATAAATGTTTATTTGATCTAAATAAATATAAACTTTTGATTTATTTTAATCGAAATTTTTCGAACGAAGAAAGAATTTTATTGAATCAAATAAGCTTGTTGTTTATTCAAAAAAGAATTTTGTTAACTACATAGCAGTAGATTTATTTGGTTGATTCAACCAAAATTTTGTTTTTTCAAACAAATTTTTTCTCTGGGTGTTTAAATAAAAGAAACTGTAATATTGTTATTATAGAGTGAAAGAAACATTTCTTTTTGTATTAAAAACGAATATTTCTTTGCACCGAAAATATATTTTTTTTTATTAAAACAAATAAAGTTTTTTAAATTAACAAAATAAGTGATTTTAAATTCTTAATACAAAAAAATTGTTTCGAATTAAAAAAATAAGTGGATAAAATATATTATTTTTATTGGCACCCTCAAAAACAAAAAAAAAAAAAAAAAATATTTTCCTCACAGATAAATATTTATTTGTTTCCAATAAATTTTATTCGATTGAAATAAATATTATGTTCTGCAAGTTTTGAACATTAAAATGAGCAAAAAAAAAAAAATTTTTTTTTTTACTACTCCTTTAAATTCAAATTTTATTATAAAATATTTGTTATTGCATGAAAAAATTAATAAACAATTTAATAAATTAATGTATTCGTTTATTTTTTATTGCAGTAGTAAATTTATAAAGCATTATCATTCTCTCTATAGACAACAAAATTGATTTGGTTCATTTAAACGTTTATAACTTTTTAGGCACATAATAAATTTTGATTTAGTTGAAATAAAACTTTTATTTTCGTTAAATAAAACTTTTTTTATTTTCATCAAATAGAACTTTTATTTTGTTTAAATAAAAATTTTATTCACAACAAATAATGTTTTTATTTATGTGAAATAAAATTTTTACTCGCACAACAAATAAATGATTCTCTAAATTTTTTTTTTTTATTTCTATAATTAAATTTGAATGAGAATTCGTTTCACTATTCAAAATTAGTGAAAATATCTTCTAATCTTTAGTCATTTTTCACTGAAACTTTAGTAAAAAAAAAAAAAAAAAAAAAAAAAATATTACTAAATCAAATAATACTAGTTTACTATAAAATAGAAATTAGTGAAAATTTTCTACCAATTTGAATTAGTGAACGAATTCTCACTAATTCTTAGAGAATAAATTTATAATAAATTATTGAAGTAAATTATATTCGGTTTTTCGAAAAAATAAATATATTTGTAAAAAAAAAAAATGGAATTACGAATTCATTATTTTTCACTGATAATTAAGTATAAAAATAATATTTCACACTGACCCGCGTCTTTAATTTATGCCATATGATGCTGATCAGTAAACCCCTATCTTGAAATGAAATACCTTTGAGCAAAATTTGCCGCGCACAAATCTCGTTAGGTTTGGCAATTTCTATATATATATACACGAGAATTAATCATCATTTTTAAAAATAATTCAACTTTAAAAAAAAGAGAATGTAAAATATATATATTTCCCTCTCTTGAAAGAAAGTTATTTATGAAAATTTTTAAAATTTCATTTTCAATAGAGGTATATATATATATGTACTCGCTTAAGAGAAAAAATTTACTAACTGTAACAAATTAACGGATTTTTCCTAATGGACGGTAATCAGATAATATCATTTAGTGTATAATTATCACAGATCGGACTGAAGATACTTTAATTATATTCTGGTAATGAGTCTTTGCTGCACATTTGATGTTGAGAAATAGATATATCTTATATATATAGTTATATTCGAGATTTATATAATCGATAAAAAAAATTCTGATTTTATGTGATTGACACGATGAAAAAGTTTCACTGTACTTCAAAAAATTAGCGGTCATTGACGATGACATCTGACAACGACACACACACACACACACAAATGCGGTATAATCGCTTGTGACTGATAGTCGTTACAAGGATCGATCTCTTTTTCGAAATTGATACCTTTCACTTTTCAATTTAAAAATTTTTGTCCTTTATATAAACCGCAGTATACACTGAGAAAACGATATTTTTTGTTCAATCATATAATATACGTTTAATTTACACTTTTAGTACCTATACCCTGTAAGAAAAAAGTTGGATAGCGAGAATCGGGAAAACGTATTGAAGCAGAATAAACAAAAAATTTAATATTTTATAAAAATATATTATATTGGGGTCAATCCATTATATTTCGACTGAAGTCGTCGCTGACTAATTTTTAAAAATTATAATACTTTGCAGGAATGATTTTGAAGTTATCAAGATCACGAAATGAAAAAAATTTTATTAAAATTTTAATTATTTATTGCAAAATATGAATTTAAAGTTTATGAGGTGCTGAAAACTGTCAATTTTTTAGCCATTAGAAAATATGCAAAAAAAAACAGAATTTACCATAAAAATAAAAAAAAATTGTTGTAATTTACTAAGAATGAATAAATTTATCATTATCAATTGATGTAATTATTTAAATATGTGAAATAATATATAAAATATGACTTTCAATTTCGCCTGTCAAATAACCTAAATTTGCAAATTTCATCTATAAAATGTGAGAAAGAGAAGTCATTAAATTGAAAAAAACCTTACCAAATATAAAGTACCTGTGACTAACTTTTAGTTTTTCTTAGCACTTTTTTCCTTTTTTCTTCATAAATGTGAAATAAAAAGCAATAAAAATTGGCACTTTGCTTATTTTCACTATTTTCAAATGTAAATAACTTTCTTGGAGAAAACTGAAAAATTACAAAACTTGGGCAATATCTAATTGATCACTAACTACACACACTGGAAAAAAATTCGCTTTGGTCCCGAAGATACTTTTTGAGATAATTATGTTTAAACTTTTCACAATTTTTATCAGGTTAATACATGTAGTTTTTTAAGGACGAAGTTAGGTTTTATTGGTTAAACATTTTGAACTAACTTCAATTTTATAAAAATCACATGCATTAACCTGATAAAAATTGTGAAAAGTTTAAACATAATTATCTCAAAAAGTATCTTCGGGACCAAAGCGAATTTTTTTCCAGTGTGTGTAGTTAGTGATCAATTAGATATTGCCCAAGTTTTGTAATTTTTCAGTTTTCTCCAAGAAAGTTATTTACATTTGAAAATAGTGAAAATAAGCAAAGTGCCAATTTTTATTGCTTTTTATTTCACATTTATGAAGAAAAAAGGAAAAAAGTGCTATGAAAAACTAAAAGTTAGTCACAGGTACTTTATATTTGGTAAGGTTTTTTTCAATTTAATGACTTCTCTTTCTCACATTTAATAGATGAAATTTGCAAATTTAGGTTATTTGACAGGCGAACTTGAAAATCATATTTTATATATTATTTCACATATTTAAATAATTATATCAATTGATAATGATAAATTTATTCATTCTTAGTAAATTACAACAATTTTTTTTTATTTTTATGGTAAATTCTGTTTTTTTTTTTGCATATTTTCTAATGGCTAAAAAATTGACAGTTTTCAGCACCTCATAAACTTTAAATTCATATTTTGCAATAAATAAATTTGCGTACATAGTGGTTAATTAGTGAAATTTCATTAAATTAACGATTAAATTTCCTTGAATTTTTAGCGCATATACCCTTTTTGAAATTAGTGGTACACTTATCCCTATAGAAATCTATGATACTTTGTTAATTCCAATTTGGAAAGTAAAAAATTATTATACAACTGATTTAGTTTTTAGTATTAATAAAAGGTATAAAAAGAAAATTAATTTAAGGCCTTATACTTTTTTTAATATATTTATTTATTTAACATATACATGGGCATTGTAAAAAAGTTATGGTTATTTTTATTATTAATCAATTAATATTCGTGAATAAATAATTTTGGTCTTACCTTTAAAATGAGGATTTAGTTTATTTATTCTCATTTCCTTTCATTTATTATTGCACTTATTATTTATTAATTAATTTTCTTGTTTTGTCTCTTTATTAATCACTATTTACATTAACTGCTATTAATTAATTTATAGAAAAAAGTAATTATTCTATTCAGTTCTATACCGACAATAGAAATTTAAATTCAATAACTTGTATCCATTGTCGGTAAAAAGAGTAGCATACTTACCCGACGAATAGCTCTTTCACATTTACTAAATAACCTAATTCTATTATTTTTAATTGAAAGTTCCATTTTTCTCTTAATTCTTGTCTCTCCACAATTTATTTAACCTTTTTATTAATAAAAGGTCACTTTTATCACAATTAAAACGTTTTTTCATTCGTTTTAACGCTATTTTCAATCGAACGTATTGGACTAACTACACACAACGGATTCGACCTAACACTCCAATATGTTAAAATTCAAATAACGGATTCAACATACCGAGCTTTAATACGTTTTCCCGATTCTCGCTATCCAACTTTTTTTACAGGGTATATATCCTTGTTATACAGTCAGAAAAAAATTTAAGTTTAATTCAACAATTCCTTTGTTTTGATGAAATATATATATATATATTTCATTTAAACATATTTTGTTTGATTCAAAGTTAATATTCTTCATTTACAATAAAAATATTTAACATGAAAAATAGTTTTTTATAATCATGTAAAAATCTTGTTGTAAGAATAAATATAAAATAATAATTAATGGAACATCTGAATTGTGACACTTTGCAGGGAATGGTAGCTTTTTTCGATACAAACCGGAGAACTAAAATAGAGAAAAGTAGGGTGAATTAACCCGTGTGGAAAACGCCCCGTTCGTCCCATGCGTGATAGGGGCCCCCGGCAGGGTCCCAAGTGGAAAATCCATGAGGGCAAATCCATGCGGGCACCAGCAGGGCCCCCGCTATTTGCCCTCACGGTTCCCTGCTCAAAAATTTGTCTAAGTCCAAAAACAAAAATTTTTTTTTACCAAAAAATGTTTAGTTCAGAATGCATTAAATAACATTTTAAAGCAGTTGAAATAAACATTAGGTGACATTTAAAAAAAATCTAAGTACCAAGTTTTGGAAATCCACAAGGGCACCAGCAGGGTGCCCGGTCTTTACCCTCACGGTGCCCCGCTCAAAAATTTGTCTAAGTTAAAAAAAAAAATTTTTTTTTGTATAATAAATGTTTACTTCAGAATGCATTAAATAACATTTTAAAGCACTTGAAATAAACATTGGGTGACATTTTTTAAAAATCTATGTACAAAATTATGGAAATACACGAAGGCTCCAGCAGGGCCCTTGCTATTTGCCCTCACGGTGCCCTGCTCAAAAATTTTTCTAAGTTCAAAATTCAAATATTTTTTCATCAACACAAAATGAATGTTTCCAATGATTCAGAACAACGAAAAACGCGTTTTTAATAAAAATATATTTACACTTTTTATGAAAATTCACCTGAGATGATTCATGACAATAATCATAAAGCATATAATTAATTATATTTTATAAATTGCATTTGATTGGAAAATATAATTTAATAAATCTTAACTTTAACTAAATGATGTTAAGCACTTTTCTTTGTTAGGTATTTTTCAAGTTTAAATAGCATCAAGAAGTTAGCATTCGTTTTGAAGTAGCGTGCGTAGCGTAGTTGGTAAAGCGTTAGACTCATAGTCCGTAGGTCGTAGGTTCGATTCCCCCCATGCGTTAGATTTATTTATTTCTCAGGTTTGCGTTTAATCATTAATTCTATGTATGAATTAATTGAAAAATGAAAATATCCGTTAATAGTATGCATAAATTAAATATTTTTTAATTTTTTAATTAATTAATTTATTATTACTTTTAATTATATCCGACAGTTAATTAATTAGAACGTTAATTAATAAATTCAATTTGAGTAAGAATTTAATTTAAAATTGAATAATTATTAAATAAATATGTTATTTATTCATAACTTAACCTTATTTATTATTAATTAACTTTTATAATATAAATTTATAAAATTTATAAATAAAATATAATAAATTTTCCATGAGGGTACACATGAGGGAAAGCATGTCACGCCTTTGAGGGCTCCACGTGGATTGCCCCTATGGTTTCCATGCGGCACGAGGGCAATCCACGAGTGCCCCTCACGGGGCCATTGCCAATTTTCCACACGGGAAGTGTTAAAAATATAAAGATATTACATATTTCGAACGTTCTACTGAAATTGCATTAGAAATTTAAATGTGCCCATTCTGAACGAACCCTTAAGTTTAAATTAAAGATTATTATAATTTTTATTCAAGCAAATAATATTTTTTAATGAAAGTGACAAATATTTTCCATATATATTGAAAAAAAAAATAGAAATTGTGTATAAAATTTAAAAAATCGTTTAAACAGATTTCTATATTTAAAGTAATAATTCTTTTTCCTAATACACAGAAAAAACCTGATCTCAAATTGAGTACGAAATTCATACTCAATTTGATACGCATAAAAAATGAAATTTTGTCTCATTTTGAGTTATAATGTTAAAAGTATCGAAATGAGACAGGGCAGTTTCATATCGAGTAAAAGATAAATGTTTAAAAATATTATCAAATAACAATTAATTATATAAAAACCCAAAAAATATAAAATAAAAATAACCAATTAAACTTATTATATTGTTTAATTATTTAAAAGGTAATAACTTGTAATCGTGTAGTAAAATTTTAAGTAAGAGAAACATATTTTTAGGTTATGAACGTGAAAACATGTGTTTTGACAGTAAAAACAGTACTGCCAACCTAAACAATGGCGCGAAATTTAAAAACTGGTAAAATTAATTATTATTTAAATAAATAATATGATTAATATTTTTTACTTAAAAAAATATTAAATATTCGCACTGATGTTAAGAATCTATTTAATATTATTCAAATATTAGAAAAAATTATATTTAAATTGTAAATCAGTTTAAAAATGATAACAACCTAAAAATCTGAAACTAAGGCACTTTCAAATTGAGTAACTTGAAGTTTGTCATTTTATCAATTTGATACCGATCTCAAAATGAGTTACAACAAAAATGAGTCCAGGTTTTTTTTTCTGTGATTGTATATATTTACGCATATAATATATATGAATTTAATTCTCATTTTAATTTCTCATTTTTTAAACGTGCCTTTCAACCATTGTCGCTCATAGGTCACAAGAATGACTTCATAGAATATATAAATATATATATATATATTTATTGAGTTGTTTACCGATATGATTGATGATCCAAAATCAATATGGATGGCATTACCGGTTTTGTGAATTAATTAATATTTCTATCTGTTGCGAGAATTTAACTAATTATATGAAATATAATAATATTGGCTATGAATAAAAGTAGAAAAATAACATATCAAAATGTGACAATATATTCTATGAGTCAATTAGTATATCATATTGATTACGTACATATATACAATATTTATGATTCATTATATATGAAAGTTAATTATTTTTCTGAAATATGTAAAAAAAAAATGATGATTATTATTATATATGTATTTTAAATGAAAAAAAAATTAAAAGGTCAAAATCTTACGTCAAATAATTTTTTTTTAACTTTTTTTTTTTTGAATTTTTTTCTTTCATTTCAGACAAAAATCGCAATTTTTATTCAATTTTTCGAAAACAATAGCTTATTTATTGAAATATTTTCTATAATTAAAGTAAGTGCACCAATTACGGCTCGTTCATAAAAAAATAGCTATTATGTATTACTATTATATTTAATATACCTAACTGTTGTAAAATGATTAAAAAAAAATTATTTTAATCTTTTTTTGATATACAATTACTAATAAAGATGCAGATTTAAACAGTTATTAATTTAATTATTTGCGTTCAAATTTTTTCCCTCTCCGTAATTGAAACATTTTAAAAATTTCAATTGACTTCAATTACGGTGGTCAAAGTATCTTCAAAATATACGTAATTTTGGTCACCGTAATTAATACACCGAAACTTATGCAAACGTGCCTTAATAGAAAATTAACATGAGCCAAAAATTTTGAATGTTCAAATGAACAAATTTTTTTTTTGCAACTTCATTAAGTACGAATTTTATTACAAAATATTGTTTTAAATATCTAAAAAGAAGTTATTTAATTTAATAATTATTTAATTTACTGATTTATTTTACATATAGACATTATAATTTTTAATAATTTATAGATTCAAAAAAGTATTTTGTTCATTTGAACGTTCAGAACTTTTGGCTCATAAAATTACGGTATTAGTTTTAATTTCTCATATTCGTTTAAATAATCGATTTTTATAAAGTTAAAATTTTTTTTTTTTTTTTTTTTTTTGAAATATTATAAAAAATAATTGTAATTCAAATTCACTCTGCCAATACTGCCAACCTAGAAGACTGAATTTTCGGTCAGGATCATTTTTAATAACTTGAAATTTGTCGCATACTCAAATTCGATATACCCAATTTCAAAATGAGTTGTAACAAAAATATTTTGTTAAAAAAAGTGAATGTTAAAAGATGTAAAAATAAAAAAATGATATTTACAATAAAAGAAATGATTTTCTAAAGACGTATTCCACACGCGCCATCTTCCTGATAGATATTCCTGCCACGACATCAACCGTCAATTCGATAAGATCAATAAAATTTCACGGAGCCTTGCACATACCGTGTGTGTGTATATATATATATATATATATATTCTTATAACAGAGTCAGTTAATAAAGCTCGATAATATTCATCGCATTCGATGAATCACCAATGATTAAAACTAGCAATGATTTTTATTCCTTCTTTTTTATTTTTTGATTACAGATGGAGAACGGAGCCTACTACGATGATGATCCATCGTGCAAGTTTCACGAGACGCCTCGAGCGCCCCTAAGAAAGTTCATCCGTCCAACAGAATTATTTCGCATGGATTCCTCGTCAAATCCCGACTCGCACATTTACGAAGACATCACTTCCAGTGCTTCAAATCCCACAAGTTCACCATTTCGTACACAACATAATAATAGTTTATGTCTTGCTGATAATGAACTTTTTCTTTCACAAGTACAAAATACAAATCGTCTACCAAATTATTATTCAAATTCAGAAATTGATCATGATTCATTAAATTCATTTCATCGTAATCTCACTCTTCCTTTGCGTCGAACAAATCCACTAACAAAAGATGAGAATTTAATAAGTTCATCGGTACGTGTCACTAGTAGAGAACGTATTCGAGCTGGTACATCGTTACACAATAATGATAGTTCAATAATTGATGAAAATTATCGTTATTCCTCGGGACCAATAAATATTGATGTGCACAATGATCAAAGAAATCATGGTAGAAGACGTCGTAAGAAAGATTGCAAACATTGTAAAAATAGAACAAATTCAGGATTTTCAACATCATCATCAATAGAAGTGCCCGTCGATGTGTCCTGTTCTAATGAGAGATTTTATGATGATAACAATGATTTTCGTTTGGAAACTGAAAAATCAATTCTCGGTATTATTGAGCCAATTTTTACAATGCCAGAGGGACGATTACCGAGTTTCTGTAATAATTCAAGGTGTGAAAAACAATTGAGCAGTGTTTATTGTATTTCAAATAATGTTAATTGTAGTGCCGTTGGTTCGGGTAATGTTAAGACCTTGAACTATGACAAGAACGACATAGAAGCAAGGCTCGCCCACGTTGAGGGCTGTGAGGACAAGGCACTCATTACTCCTCCGAAGAATCGAGCTGGGATGAAGGTAAACTCTATCTATGCCCAGGAACACTGGCATACCAAGGACGTGCCGATCTTCCTTACCGACGCCAAGGAACAAAGTTCCTTTCAGGTAAGAGCATTCACTGAGCGCAAGTTTTAGTTCGCGATGCACGATTTCTTTTGTCTGCAGGTGCACTATATATATATAAAGCAAGCAGTTGTATATTCACCTTAGTATATAGAAGGTTGCCCTTGAAATGAGAAAAAAGTGGAAGGTGCAGAAAATTTGTAGTACAATTTGGGCCGAACTGCTTATTTTTTATATAATTAAAGATTTACGAGGGTTAGTTTATATATCTTAAAGTCGTCATTCCTCTTTTCTGCAAACTTGAAGAAAAAATATTTTAACTCCGGATATTAAAGCTATCAGCTGTTATACGGAATGAAAAATTTATTTGAGTCAATTAAATTGTATTTGTGACTTGCAGCCCCCCCCCCCGTCCAAAAACTTTATAAGCAAGAATTATCATATATCATATCATATTACTTATGAATTGAAGAAAAAAGTATTTAGGGAAGTATATTTTACTAGATAAATAATAATTAATAATTTTTACTTTGCTGAATGCTAAAATTGTAGAAGTTTAAATTTTTTAAATGTTTATTTGGTCGCCATATTGGATCCGCCATTTTGATTGATCTGTCGGAAAAATTGTTTTCCTTTCGAAATATTTTTAAATTTATTGAAAAATCATTAAAAAATCGCGTCATTTTGCAAATAAACATTAATAAACATTTTTTAAGCCTTTTTTTTGATAGTATTTTCAAATACGTTGGATATAGGTTTCACGAAAAATTGGGATTTTTCTTTCTGTAAAATATCATTCCTTAAAGTTAGACTAAAATTTCAGTGCATTTGGGGCTTAATGGGTTAATAATATTTTTGAAGGTTAAGTAAAATGGAATCAAAGATTTTTTTTTTATTGGTGAAATTTTTTTATTATAAATTTTTATTTACATACTTCTTTATTTATTAAAATTTTAATATATTATTTTATGTAATTAGATTTGTTCAAATTGGGTGGGGGGAAATCCAAAATGGCGATTAAGCGGTGCACACACAAACATAAGAAATGTATGGGATGAAGTCGAACTTTTTTAATATCTCGTTAAGGCCAGGTCCAAGTGAGGCAGCGCCATCTACATTGAAACTAATATTTTGGAAAATTTTCAACAGCCTTTTTTTGAAAATAAAGAAGGTAAAATGCTTTTTCCTTTATGGATAATTGATTATTGGCAAGATATACACTAGCTAAAACTTTTTTTGAGTTAAAATAATAAAAAAAATTTCATGTCAATAAATTAAATATGAGCGCACTTTTTTCACAAAAACTGTAACAGTACTTTCTCAGAAATTACAATCAAAAATGCAATTTCCATTTGGAAAATTAATAAACGCTAAAAAATACACGACCTAAGATTTACCAATAACGAAAATAACAAAAAAAAAGTATTTTAACATAACATATTTTACTCATTATGACAACCGTTTGGCAGGTTATTTATGTCACCAGACGTTTCGCAGTTTTGCCGAAAGGAGGAGATTGGCGCTGTTGCTAACCACCTGAAATAAATAAAGGAAATAGCATTTTATTATCTTGTTTTCAAGAAAAGGCTGTTGAAAATTTTCCAAAATTTTAGTATCAATGTAGATGGCGCTGCCTCACATAGACCTGGCCTTAAAATGAAATTTTGGAACCTAAGTGTATTAGGATTTTAATTTCAATTTTTAATTACCTATTTAATGCAATAATAAAATTTATTAAAAAAATAAAATCGTTTTTTATTATTGTATTAAATAGGTCATTAAAAATAGAAACTAAAATTCTAATACACTTAGGTTTCAAAATTTCATTTAAACGAGATACTTATTAAAAAAATTCATCTTCATCCCGTAGATTTCTTATATGTTTGTTTGTGCACCACTTCATCGCCATTTTGGATTTCCCCTACCCAACTTAAACAACCTAATTATTAACATTTTTATTTTTCGATATCTTTCTACAATTAATTTTTTTTTTTATGAATTTGTATATTGAATTTACAATTAATATTTTGAAATTTTTGTTCAATTTATTTGTCGATGATTAAATTTTTTATAATATATTTAATAATTATTATACGCAAATATAACTTTTAATTTCTATATTAATTTTTATTTATCTGAATGAATTTTATGATTATTTTTTGTTGTATATTTGATTATTATAATAATAATAATAATTTTTTTTTACTTTATATATTTTATGTAAGATAAATTTAATTTTAATGAATTATGATATTTTTTAATGTTTATTTTTCATCATTTTTATTTATTTTTTTTTTTACATAAACAGAAATATTTTATTTTTTAACATAAACTAATGTAGTTAAGAATGTATGTGTTTAATTGAAATCTAAGAATACAGAATTTTCATATTTCTGAATTTTCTCTGTAGGTAAAAAATTTTTTCGTTTGAGTTTTCTGACAGGGGGGGGGGTGCAAGTCGTATTTGTTTATAAATTATTGGTCCAAATACAATTTATTTAAGCAGAATGCTTATCTCATAAAAATAATTAGTTAAAATTTTCATTTTAATAATTTTTATTAGATAATAATTATATTTTTAATCGAATTTTCATTTGACAGAATTTCTTTTTTGAACGAATTTTTACTTAACTGTGAATTAATGTATAGAATTTTTATTGCACAGAATTATATTAATAAAATTATATCTAATAAAATTCTTTAAAATGAAATGATTCTAACTAATGATTTTTAAGGGATATTTAATAATCATGCAACATTATAACATAAACTCAAACTAAAAAATAGTTTTTAATATGTAAAGAAAAATATTTAAAATAATTTAAATAGCGAAGTAGAAAAAAATCTTTTTTTATTGACAGATAATACACTGAAAAAAAAAATTTTATTTGATTTAAATAATCGGTTTCATATATATATAATTTCAATATTTCACTAAGATTAAAACTAAAAAATTTCATTTAAAAAAATAATTCCAAAAGTTTATTATAAAAATAACAGATTTAAAGTAACGAATATAAAAAAAAAGGAATAGAATTAATTTTATTATACTCAACGTTAACGAAGTAAAACTCAAAATCCGTTTTATTCCTCCAATTAAAATGTAGGTAATCTGTAGAAAGTATATGCGGTCATATTTTTATGATATTGTCGCGCTGTTTCCTCTCCTTCTAATTACTCACACAATTTCGAATTATTATTATTTTTATAATTAAAACTAATTATACTCTTTTATTCCAAAGCATGACTTCCTAGATTCTTCTCGCATGAAGAAAAAGGACATTAATTTATTTCTTCTTGATTCTTAACTTGACAAAGAAAAAAAAAAAATTAATGTTTGTTGCGCCGAAAAATTTTCAACTTTTTTTTCCCTCTCGTTCAAGATAATTCTTAAACGAAATTTCTTGCATTCACATTTCACTAGTGCGTATATATATATACATATATATGTGTGTGTATTGTGAACCAGTTATTTAAGAATGTATATGTATTGCCTGCGGAGAACTTCTTCAAATGCCAAATGCCAACGCACGTGGCGACATCGACCGACACTACTTATTAATCCATAGTCGTGCACGATACATTTGTTTGCCGCTAGGTGTCGCATGAAAAGAAGTTACATTTATGCTTTTGGCTTTCCCATAAACGAGATGTTTGCTTGAGACTATAAAAGGGAATGCGAAACGAACGAAAGCATACTTACCTGGCGTAGAGGCTACCGTGATCAACAAGGCGGTTCCTCCAGGGCGAGGCTCTTCCATTGCACTTCGGTCGAGCTGACCCTTGCGAATATCCCTAATGTGGATATCTCGGACGTATAATTTTTGTTAGTCGGGACTGCGTACGCGCTGTCCCGGATAAATATTTATAAAAACAAAATTCTTTAGAATTTATAAATTAAATTTTACATTATTTAAATTCAATTAAATATTTAAAAAAAAGGGATTTTAATTTAAAACATTTTATCTAACATTTTGCATAAGCAAAAAATTAATTATTTAATAAAATAAGTTTAATTTATAATTATTATTATATCGTTAAAATTAATAATTTCATTTAAATACAAGAAAATAAAATGTGATAATTACATTTTCAATGAAGTTCTTTCACTCTTAATTAGCGGAAAATAAAACTACAACTTTTCATCTCTCTCTCTGTATACAATATATATTTGATCACTTAAATATTCGTGTCTAATTAAGAGGATCCCCTTGTGTCAATTTTATGTCAAATTTATAAAAGTCAATCATTTTTTTTTTACTTGCTTTGTATAAAATAATATTAATTAAGATGTTTATCTTTTCATTAATTGGAGAAATTTAATTATAAAGAGAAAACCAATTTTATAGATAAATATTGCAGCATACTAAAAAAGTTCTGTATATATTAATAGTTAATGAATGATTGGCAGTTATTTTTTTAATATTTAATTAAAAATTAGATTTTCTACATATTATAATAAAATTCTCTAATTGGGTTTCCAATAATTACAAAAAAAAATATAAATATTAATTGATAAATAATTAATAAAACTTTAAAAATAATTAAAAATTAAAAGAAAAAAGCTAATTAATATTTATTATACATAATCATATTTTTCAAATGTGATATCCATTTATTTTAAATGACAACTAGTAAATGACAGAGAATATTAAATAATTAAAATATAATATTAAATATAATTAAATTCAGAATTAAACAAAAATTCTAAACATTCATAATTAATTTATAAGCAGGTTATTATTAATTAAAATTGGTAAATTTTTAACAATATCTTGAATGTTGAATTTATTTTTAAAATATGTTTCATATAATTTTTACTTCCTTAATATGATATTAATGACGTGATAAATAATTTTTTTTTTTTAATGATTAAACTGGGACATTTTTTTTTACTTCTTCCTATCTGCGAGCATAAATCTATCATTCAGTTCCGCGCAGCATCGCACAGCTCTCCGTGAATGAAGTCTTTATAATATTGAATCGAAGCTTATTTAGCAGAAATTACGACTCGGTGGGTCTGACCGCGAAAGAGAACACAT